TCAGGATTCATTTTTTAATTAGTATATTATATATATATATATACATGTATATATGTATGTATGTATGTATGTATGTATGTATGTATGTATGTATGTATGTATGTATGTATGTATGTATGTATGTTTGTTTGTTTGTATGTATGTATGTTTGTTTGTTTGTATGTATGTATGTATGTATTTATGTATGTATGTATGTATGTATGTATGTATGTATGTATTTATGATTTATGTATGTATGTATGTATGTATGTATGTATGTATGTGTGTGTGTATATATATATATATATATATATATATATATATATATATATATATATATAATAGTTAAGATGTATTGCGTATATGTGTGTGCGTATATATGGTTATATAATAAACAGATTTTAGATTTATTTATCTATTCATTCATTATTTATTTAAATATTCATATAATTGATATTTATTTATTTATTTAAATATTCATATAATTGATATTTATTTAAATATTCATTTAATTGATATTCAATTATTTATTTAAATATTCATATAATTAATATTTATTTATTTATTTAAATATTCATATAATTGTCATTTATTTATTTATATATTCATATAATTGAACTAATATTGAACTATATAACTATTTATTTAAATATTTATGTAATTGTTGTTTAAATATTCATATAATTGTTATTTAAATATTGTGACACTAAAGAAATTTTGTCACTAGTTTTTTGTCTACCACAGAGCTTAATAACTCAATAAAGGAATGAATTGATTGACGGATAGATAGATGGATGGATGTGCGTATGCATGGATGAATGATTGATTGATTGATTGATTGATTGATTGATTGATTGATTGATTGATTGATTGATTGATTGATTGATTGATTGATTGATTGATTGATTGATTGATTGATTGATTGATTGATTGATGACAGAGCCTGTTTTTAGTTTAGACCATGTTATATGAAAATAATTGTGATTGAAAATAAACTTTGTTTTTGGACGTTTTTGTTTCTCAAAATGAAAGTAAAAAATATTTATGAAAATTATGATATTATTTCTATAATTATGACGTCATTAGCGTTACGGAACATTCACGAATATGCGAGGGCTGTGTTATTTATCGATTCAACATGACACACTAAAATGTCTTTCTTGCATTGTTTGTCATACCAAAAAATAACTTCTCTCTCTCTTTCTCTCTCTCTCTCTCTCTCTTTCTCTCTCTCTCTCTCTCTCTTTATCGCTTGTTCTCTCTTCAATATTTCTTAAGCTTAAGAAGTTAAACACCCTATGACGAATGATTGGATTGCTTAAAAATTTCTATTACGCAATGCAATAGTATCGTTATTTAATATTTAAGTATAAAAGTATGTATGTATGTGTGTGTGTATGTGTGTGTGTATGTGTTTTTGTGTATGTATGTATGTACGTATATGTATGTATGTGTGTATGTATGTATGTATGTATGTATGTATGTATGTATGTATGTATGTATGTATGTATGTATGTATGTATGTATGTAGATATATCTTAATACCTTGTTAGAGTTAAGTTGAAGCCAGACAATGCCCTACAATGGCTAGGTGGTATCTAAAACATGTACAGTTGAGTTCAGTATGTATGAATGTTTCGATGTATGTATGTATATGTGAATGTATGTATACATTTAACCGCTTATATGTATGGTTCATTACATTACAAAAACGTCACAAGGTATGTTTTGTATTAATGTATCGTTATATTTGTTATTGCCCTTCTTATTAATATTATTGTTTATGTTGTTTTTGATGTTATTATTGTCTTATAAAAGCAAGTGTTGTTGTTTTTATCCTTTATATTGTATTTCATGCGTTTTAAATTCCAATCCTTGTTGGCTGTGTTACTAGAATGTTTGCAACCGAAGTTGAGTTGGACGTGTTGAACGATCAGTTTAGTCTTAGAAAAAAATTTAGGGTTGTGTCTTGTTAGGATTTTTAAAGATGATTACTCTTTAGGATGATTGTGTAGTTGTTTCACGAGTTGGAATAGGAAATATTGTTGTTGAACAACGACAGCGACGATCTTTTACAACATCAACAACATCGAAATCAACATCATCAACTACAACAGCATCAACAACAACATCATCAACAACAACAGCAACAACAACATTATCAGCAACTACAACATCTGCAACAACAACATCAGCAACAACAAAAAATAAACAAAATCCGGTGGGAATAGTTCGCAATGGCGATGTCTAACAACTGAAACGCAAAGATGTGCTAATAAATTATTAATAATATTAATCAATAATTATTTCATAATAATGAAAAGAATAATAATTATAAAAATAAGCTAACAACACATTAATAACAATAATAATAATAACAACAACAATAATAAAAGCTAAAACCTGAAAATAGGATAGGCAGTTAGAGATCTAGAAATCCCGAAAATGATGATGAGATTAGCAGCCCGCCAGTACATTCTCATATGCTGGAAAAACTTAAACCTCCTAAAACGCCACTACTTCCTGGTCCCATTCCAGGCCCTGGTCCCGGTTGGGATTATCATTATCCTCTTTAGCCTAAGACAGAAGCAGGATGTCAGACAATACAAACCAACTCACTTTAATCCTTTTCCTATAAAGCATCAAGATATATTTTTTCCCGGAAGCCAGATTGACCGCAAGTGGATCCTGACGGCGGTTCCCAGACACGGATTAGTGCTAACCATTTTGAAGAATCTTTACTCAAGAATGTCTGACGTACTTACCGGGCCGTCAAGTTTGTATGTGTGGAAGTGTGCTTGAGTGGTTGGTTGGTTGGTTGGTTGGTTGGTTTGGTGGGTGGGTGGGTGTTTGTTGAGGTTTGATTGATTGCTGCTGATGGTCGAAACTTTATTGTTGATATGATTTGATTGACAGCTCATTGAAAAAGTAGTTCATTAGATGAAAGATGAATGATTGAAAGATTAGATAAATGAATGAATGAATGAATGAAAGACTAGTTAAATGAATTAATGAACGAACGAAGAAATGAAAATTTCATAACGAGATAAGCTGAATATCTCAAAAATATGCACCTCTCCTCCGAAAGATTTCATGTTTGAGAATGAGACCACCATGCTGGAGACTTACTTGCAGAATGACACCATGAGGAACATGTCCTTCGCTACTATCGTCTTCTCCGGAATTCCGAATAATACAAACAAGGATACGATCGTAAACGTCACTTACAAGATCCGCTTCCCAGCTGAGCAGCATTGGGTATAGAGCTGTCATTATCTCTATCCATCCATCTGTTAATGTATTTTACTGGGAAAAATATTTCTTGAATTATGACTAATCACTCATTAGCGATGAATAATTAATCAATTGATATGAACGTTTATGAATATTTATAAGTTTTTAATTTATTTAGTTAATAGTTTTTAATAATAACAACAGAATTGTCCAACAACAATTAGAGAATAAATTGAAATAAAACCTCGTAGAAATACGCCGACAAGAGCAATTGGTTGACGGACAGATGGTACGATGACACAACTTATAATGAACCTAGGACGTCCAACTTTGATAGGGGAAACATCAATAAACCCGGTGAAATACATTTTTTTTAATATTCAACGTCGAAAGAGCTTAAATGTTAGAGGCGGCTGGTCGTTTTGTTTAGCACAGACCGAGTTCAAAAACATCCTGAATAAATTTTTATCATATTTCTCTCTTGTTTAACATAACAATGAACGTTATATTATTATTATTTTATAGACGTTATTTTATTTTTATTCTTATTTTATAACAAAATTTTTACAAAATAACTATATTTCGCAAATAAGCAACAAAATTTACCCAATTAACGACCAAATGTAACCAATTAATGACCAAATAAAACCAATTAATGACCAAATATCTCCAATTAATGACCAAATATAACCAATTAATGACCAAATATAACCAATTTATGACCAAATATAACCAATTAATGACCAAATTTTGCTAATTAAAGACCGAATTTTCAAAAAAAAAAAAATCTTGCAAAAACATTCCAACGAAATTTTAACCCGACCAGGCTACTACAGAGAAGCCTTCTTGACACTGCAGAAATACATCGACGATGCCATCATAGCGCTGATACTCAAGCAGAACGGTACGTACGTTGAGTCAGACAACCCGGACTCCAGCATCCAACTGAGAATGTTCCCGTATCCGTATTCGACTTATGACGATTATGTAACCGTTATAAAAGTGTACATGCCCCTTTTTATTGTCATATGCTTCATAGCTAATGCCACACTCATAGCTCGAGATATCACACTGGAGAAAGAGAAAAAATTGAAGGTGGGTTGTTAGATGTTTATGTTCTTGATGTATTTTTTAATGTTTGTTTCAGTTTTTATTGACGCTTTAAATGAATAACTGAATAAATAACTTACTGATCAATAAAGCATTCATTATTCATCCAAACAACAACAACAAAAAACCATCAACAACACCAACAACAACACCAACAACAACACCAACAACAACACCAACAACAACACCAACAACAACAACGAAACACAGGAGTCGATGAAACTAATGGGACTGAAACCATGGGTCAACTGGCTGGCCTGGTTCACACAGTTCTTCCTCTTCATGCTCGTTTCGGTGGCTCTGATGACGATGTTCTTTCACATACCGACAAGTAGGAAAGGTTCGATATCGTCCATATTTACCTATTCGCATTTCTCAGTGACGTTCGTGTTTCTGTTGCTCTACGCAGTTTCTATCATCATGTTTTGCTTCATGGTTTCGTCCATATTTTACAAAGGTGAGTGTTGTTTGTGTTGTTGCTGTTGTTGGGATGAATGAATGATGGATAGATGGATGGATGGATGGATGGATGGATGGATGGATGGATGGATGGATGGATGGATGGATGGATGGATGGGTGGATGGGTGGATGGATGGATGGATGGATAAAATGAATATTTAGATGAATAAATAGCCAAAAAGTATAGATAAAGCAAATGTTTTAAATTGAGCTATAT